CATGTAACTTTAACGGAATTGGTCACTGGATTCCAGGACTATTCAAAAATGATTTCTAAAGTAACGAAACTAAGCTACTAGGGTCAAGCGAATAAATAAACGCCATTTGAGCGTTTCAACCAATAAAAGTCTGGTGCTATTAGATAGTTGGAGGGTACCATCAGAAAAACCTAGACTTGAATTTTGTATTGGTTGATACTCTTTGGCAAGATTTACAACCATGAAGGAATCGATAATCATTCAAAGATTCTAACCGGCGTCTCCTAGTGCCACAGTCAGTGATGTTACTAATGACAGTTTATTTTTTCGTTCGTCGATACGGTTAGAGGTGATCGGTTCAGAAATAATCCAATCATCTAGGCAATGTTTTCAATTTATTTTTTGATAACACTAAGTAAGCATCTTCACTAGGTAGGCAGTTTCATTTAGGAATCAATAGGTCACATGATAGGTATTCATTATTGACCATCTGAACTACGGAAGAATAGTTTCTTTAATTTGCAGGTACGTCTACAGTGTCGGCTAGCAAGACGAATGGGTCCAGCAATTTTCTGCTATGTTCAACCACGTAACAAGTTAAATATCTAAGTAGGAAACATATCACTATTTATATTTCACCGCACCAATCAGAATACCAAAGTTGGAAAGACTACTCGGTGAATTCAGTAAAACTAAATATCAAATAATACTTCACCTCATAAACTAGAAATTGCTATTTTAAATAGCCCACAATAATATGTAGGTTTCTATTAGGCTTTAGTTATTCAACATATTAAATGTTATAATTTACTAAATAAGCCTATCAGTCAGTCAGCTACAACGTGGGGCCAGGTACGTATATGCATCGGCCTATACTAAATAACAATTATTAAGGCGTAAATTAAAATGAATCACAATAAATGAACGTTAAAAGGTATCAATTATAGATATTCTTAGTATTATTATTATTAAAGTTTATTGATTCTTCATGGAATTATAAGGACATCAACAAGATACTATTATTCAGTGTAAATTAAAATAAATTTATGCATACATAATACGAACTAATATATCATATACAAATATATGAGTATACAAATAGGGAGACATGAAACAAATATTTAATAATTTAATCATTCCTGTTAAGATCAGGTCGAGAATCGTGAAAATCAAGGTATTAAAAACTAAGTAATATCAGTCAGTCAGTCAGTCAGTCAGCTACAACGTAGGACCAGGCACATATGTGCATCGGTCCAGGTTGCCATACCTCATTAGCACAACAAGATGAACACCGGATTCATAGGAGTGGTTAGGTCAAAGGTTGCAATAAGGATATAGTATAGGAAGGAAGAATTAGTTCGTATGAAGTGATTTTAATCTCTTAGTTTAAGGGAAGACAAAGAGTGTATACACCGACGCCATTGTGATCGATTCTGAGCCATGTCACCAAGAGTCTCCAACCATTGGTTACGATAGTCACGCGGACCCCAACCAAGTAGTCTGCATCTACCAACATGGCTAAGACTAGAAGTTAGTGACTTCAAGCACTGATGCCACGTTTTGGTTTGGCCGCCCCTAACTTTCTTCCAACCATCCCCTACACCGGTTAGCATTGCACGTCGTGGTAATCGGTGTTCAGGCATACGTAATACGTGGCCCAACCATCTCAGTCGATGAAGATTCATAACCTCATCAACTGATTTACCATCATTCCCTAATACCCTGCGTCTAACCTCACTATTACTTACCCGGTGATCCCAGCAGATGCCAGCAATATTTCTAAGGCATCTGTGGTCAAATACTTGTAGCTTACGGGTGTCTTCTACTCTTAAAGGCCATGTTTCGCTGCCGTAAAGTAAGACAGAACGGACTGCCGCGCAGTATACTCGTCCTTTTATTGATAGACGGATATCTCGCCTTCGCCATAGGTGGCGCAAGTTGGCAAAAGCCAATCGAGCTTTTCGAATCCGTGCTGAGATTTCGTCAGACACCAACCCATTAGGGCTGATCAGACTTCCAAGATAAGTGAAGTTGTCAACGCGTTCGACTACTTCACTCCCTATCCTTAGTTCAGGTGTTGACGCAGACCAGTCCTGAAGCAACAACTTGCATTTAGAGGGAGAGAAGCGCATCCCAAACATTCTGGCATTGTTGCTCAGTGCTACCAGAAGACTCTGCATTTTGTCAGCGTCTTCACCAAACAGGACTATATCATCTGCGTATTCTAAGTCGATAAGTGGACCTCCTGGAAGGAGATCAATACCCGAGAATTCAGTCGACGAGAGTGTTATTTCCATCAATAGGTCTATGATGAAGTTAAACAAAAATGGAGAAAGTGGACAGCCTTGACGGACACCACTTGAAGTTGCAAAAGTAGATGACAGTTCGCCATAAGCTCTGACTCGACTAGTAGTGTTCGAGTAAAGAGCCTTCACAAGGTTTATGTACTTCTGAGGTACGCCTTTCAATGACAGACACTGCCACAGAGTCTCGCGGTCTACAGAGTCAAACGCTGCTTTTAAGTCAAGAAAGACCACCATCGTCGGACGCCGATAGGTATGCCTGTGTTCTAGAACCTGACGAATGGTGAATATGTGGTCGATGCAGCCACGACCAGGTCTAAAGCCAGCTTGGTTCTCTCGAGTTTGTAGTTCACGAGTCTTAGTTAGGCGTCTGATAATTATCGAGGCTAGTATTTTAGATACTATGTTTGTTAAACTTATCCCTCTGTGGTTGTCACAGGATGATTTTGACCCTTTCTTATATATTGGGACGATAAGTGATTGCGACCAGTCAGATGGGATAAAGTCTAATTCCCAGATCTTAGCTAAAATGTTAGTCAACCTAATCGCTAAAATTGGACCACCATCCTTAAAGACCTCTGGAGCCAATCCATCTGGACCAGCTGCCCTTCCTCGTTTCAGATTAACTATAGCCTTTTGAACTTCAGCAAGAGTTGGGGGACCTACTTCAATGTTCCATTCACGCTGTCTGGGAATGGAGGGTAGTTGTAGAGTAGCTGAAGGCCAGCTGAACTGTTCTCTAAAATGTTCCCCCCATCGTTCTAAACGTCTGGACTGGGAGCAGATGAGAGTATCATCTTTTTCCGAAATAATCTCACTTACACTTGACTTATTAATTCCAGTTTCTTTTATTAGTCTGTAAAGCTGTCTTGTGTTCCCTATAGTCGCCGCCTTTTCCATCTCTTTTGCTTTCGTTACCCACCACTGCTCACGGTCGTTCCTTAGACTTTTTCTTAGCCTAGATCTGATTTGTTTTCGCTCTTCATCATGTTCAGAACCTGATGGGATGAGTTTGCGAGAATCCATCAGTGTGACAGACCTTGAAGAAATCCACTGGTTCCTTGCAACTCTGTGGTTTAAGTCACTAATAGATGTCACTGCTGTTTCCACAGCTGATTGTATGCTCTTCCAAGCAACATCTGGGTCAGCCTCGTCTTCACAACTACCTAATCGTGACCTCAGTTGTTCCTGGAACCTACTTTTGGTTTCCTCGCTACTCAGTTCGGTCCTAATGGGTCTTTTTACTGTGGCTTTTTTGCGTCCAGTGAGGCGCAAGCAGATGCGTGCCCGTATTAGGGCGTGGTCGGAGTCCAAGCAGGTACTCCAGAATGAGCGACAATCTTCTACCGACCCTCTCCAACGATGACTGATGGCAATATGGTCTATTTGAGTCCATCGTTGGTTTGGTGTAGGGGGTCGCCATGTTAGACGATGTCTCTCCTTATGCTTAAAATTTGTGTTTGCTAAAAATAAACGATTGTCTGAGCATAGCTGCAGCAGGCGATCACCATTATCTGTTCGCTGTGTCGGAATACTAAAATATCCACCTAAATGCCTTTCTGTTTGGTTTAAGCTACCTATCTGAGCATTAAAATCACCTGCTACGAGTACTATGTCTGAGCGTTTAGCTTTCTGAAGAAGTTCGGACAGCTTTCTGTAAAATTCATCTTTCACTTCATCTGAGCTGCAGTCGGTGGGAGAGTAGACAGAAACGACAAAAAGGCAACGACGTGTGTCCCTATCCTTCCGAGTTCTTACGTAGCCGTTCAGCCGAACAGCACATAGACGACTGTTGACGGGGATCCACTCTAGCAGTGCTTGTTCGGCCCTCATGCTTAGTGCTATGCCTACACCTGCCAGTCCACGAGAACTGGCCATCGGGTCACCAGATACACGAAGGGTGTATCTCGTTGGCTCTCCGTTTTGCCGAGGTGAGGTCAAGTGAATGACCACACTGGGATCCTGTATGCGTGTTTCGGAGACACAGTAATATACCCATAGAAATGTTAATAATGATGACACTAAACAAGAGATCCATTCAAAACTTAGTCTGATTTGTAAATACAGGCGATCAACTGCAATGCAGTAGCAGTATAAACAAAATAAGGGAAAATGACAACATTAATTCCAGGTTGAATTGCTGCGAATTTTACAAATATAATTTACTGTTTAGTATCTTTTAAGCATTTGTCTTTTTATCCGGAAAAGTTCGAATACCGAGATTTTGTGCAGTCAAAATGCCTTTGTACTAGAGTTATTTTAATACATTAGTCTAGTGAATCAGAGATATTTAATGAGTTAACAGACGACTATGATTAGTTGAAAATTTAGGTGCTGTAGAGTTAATTAGTACAGAACATTCTCAAAAACGATTTTTTTCGCACATGAAGTCTTAACATTCGATTTACACGTGAATTATTTTATAAAATGCATTTCCCCATCGACCATGTAGAAAACGGCTTTACTAACTAACTAGTCTCACTACATCATACAATTTATTAATAAACATACTATAACTAAATAAAAGTTTAGAATAAATAACGCATGGCATAAACTATTTGACTATCAAGCAATTTGAGGACCCTGAGAGGTATTTAAAGGTAGATATACAAGCTGCAAGTCACACGTTATTATTAGCGATCTAAAAGTACCACTTGGAGTACATATATGCCATGTGAAACAATGGCCATAAAAACATTATATAGACTTAGAACTCACCTATCGTCTTCTTTAATTTGACTAGTACGAAAACTTGGAGAAGTGATAACCATTTGTAAACTTTTAAAATTTGTTCGATTTGATAATGTGCCAAAACGATGCCTAGGAAATTTACTTTTACTACTATGATCAACACTTTGACTAGTTCCTGTAGTTGTTGTTTTTGTCTCGACAGTTTCATCACATGTAATTCGTTGACGTTGAACAAGTACCATTGGGCTTGCACAAAGTCGTTGCCATGCTTCACAACGAAATGAATCAGGAATTCCTTTTCGACATCGATCACGTAGCTTTTGATGGTATTTAAAATACCATAAACTCCAGTTAGAACACATTTTTCTCCATTTTAACTCTCGTGAACGTATAACCTCGATGGGAACACGATCTTCTCTAAAAATATGTAAAAAATAACTGAAATGCTCTTCAGAAAATATCAAGAAACGAAATAATCATAGTCATTCTGTGATCTGAAAAATCTAAAAAAAAGTTGTTCCGTAAACTCGAATTATTAACATTGACCGTGAAGTTGAACTCATAAAAGCTAAAGGGAACAGTATTAATAATCATACTCAATGACGAAAAATAAACAAAGATGAAAAGAATTGCTGATATGGGTCTTTTTGGTATTAGCAGTTTGCTGGATTTTAATTTTTAGATGTTGACGAGAAAATTTTGTTCGTACTCTATAGAACAATCAAAATCTGTACAGCAAGGAAAGATGTGAAGTGTTTAGAGTTAATCCTTACAATTCAAACCTTAACAACATTGATAAAAAAGCTGATCTTTCCGATCAAGCTTGTTGTAAAAACAGCTCATTTTGACAACTGTACGATTTCATCTTACAATGTAGATATTCATTATCTGACAGTTGCCTAGTTGCCCCAAAACTACCATCGATCTATCTGGCAATAGAAGGTCCAGGAATAAGCGATACAGTCAATATGTCAACTAGATATCTGAGAAGAACAAGTCCCAGTAGAAAATAAAAGCAGTAGCTATTAACTGGGCTGTTACGGACAAGAAGTATCGTAAAGAAATATAGTATCTGAAGATCAACGAAGTTTGTTTGTATTGAAAAAGTAATTAAAACAAAAGCGAAATAAACGCACTCTAAATAATGCTTTGAAAAGAATAATAATTTTATGAGACGAAGGAAGTATCTCTGATGCAGAATATTTGAGACGATGATACAATTTAATGCTACAATATACTAAAGACAAGATACGTAGTTTTATTATCAAGAGATTGTGAAGAACCAGTACATGAAGCCGAACTTTATTTTATTTATTTACTATTATTTACTTAAACACAAACATTGGTAAAAGGAGGCACCAAATACATATGCCCTGGGATAGTGCCCAGGTGCCCAAACCGAAGTAGGTGGTTTTCTTAGGGGGCCACACTCGGAGCCTTCGACTTAAAGGTCTATTCCACAGGGCAGTGAAGCAACGTAAGGAGATGCAGTCCCATGGTAGCCGGTGACCAACAATTTGTTCATACGCCATTTGTTCCCTTAGGATGCTGGAGCCCATGTACACCATTGGTTTGGAACCAGGATTTTTAGATTCCCCTAGGTGGACCCTCCGTATGAAATTGTCGACTCGGATGTAAAAATGAAATCATACTGAGAAAATTAATTAACGGTTCCATAAAAGTCACAAAATTAGACGATATATAGTCAATTAGGGTTGTAAATGTCTTGTATTATCATACTATGAGCTAGTTTTCTAGTACAAATAGATATCCTTATACTTGACTGAGATGGATAGAAAGCAAATACGTTTTCTGTGCCAGTTTATTCATGTTGACAATCATAATTGTTTTAAGCAACACTCACTGAAGTATAAGGAACAAAGTGCTATCTATAAATTCTAGACACAACATTTATGTTGAGTAACATCTTGGTAATTACTTAATGCAACTTAAAGAATATATGTTGACGTAACTATCTATGACATATTGCTTGTGTAGAAGTGATATTATCCTACTGGACGAACCGAAAGAGGTTAGGCGGATAAAAGTAAAAAATGAACAACGTTACTTCTACTGTTAGGCAACTGAAATTAATAGATACTATGTAATATCTAATACTTTCAATTCACAAAGGCTAGGTTTTTGTCCGATCGTGACAAGACTATTCGTTCGAAACAAAGGCTTAGTGGTTAAGATATTCGTTTTTCAATCATAAAGTCAGAGGTTTGGAAGCTGATTTTCCTACTATGGTTTTGGAAATAGAGTAGCATCATTAGTTTTCACATCGAAAGTATGACCGAAAACCAAGTTTATGAACCTAAACTGGGTTAAAAAGCTATACTGATCTATTTATACATACAAAAAAGTGAACTTTCCGCACACGATTTGTAATTTTAATCTCATGTCTCTATGAACTTAACAGGCTACCAAACTGTTTTTTAACTGCTAGCCAGCGGCGAAAACATGCACAAAGTTATGTTTTTGGCAAAATCATTCACTAATTGTGTGGACCATGGGTTACAGAAGACACTACGAAGATTTGCTGCGTAAACAGTCAAGTCATTAAAGTCGTGAACTAATACTTGCATTACCGGATTTACCACTCAAAGACAAGTACTAGGTTATATCCTTAACCATCAAATAACAGATTTACTTTACAAGGTAATTACTACACTTATACTGTTTTGGTAATTTTAAAAATGTAACTATGACGACCTCGAACAGTAAATCCTAAAAGAAGATATTCTACTCAGACCTGAAAACCGTGGGCTACATATTTGAGTTGATTCATTCGCTTTAAGGAATAAAGTATGAGACGGATGTTTTGAAGAATAAACGCCATTTACACATAAATCTATGGCATATTATAAATAAGTAGTATCGCGCATATATGAAAGGTAAAAGAGACATGTGTTAGAAAAAAGCCAAGTAGTAGAATTGACAATAACTGGTAGGATTTACTACCGGTTCTTAGCATATAAAAGACAGAGAAGACGAGCAAGGCTTATCACTGTTTCAGTAGAACAAATTCTTTGGACAAGGAATCAATACGTGAGGTTGTCGAAGCACAGTTTTTCTGGTACCTCGTCAAAACAAGACTGAAATGTGTAAATGAAATGGGTAAAAATGATGAGGTCGAGTCACCCAAATGCCCTGGTACGGCCGAGAGTGGGGAGATTCAATTCTCCCTCTCGAAATGCTCTCATATGGCCACATGCATATAACGACTGACAGAAAAGTCCTACTCGTTGCCTTCTCGTGATGGGGTTGTTGTTTACGAAATTGAGAGGACGAAAGGCGAATGTCCGGCGCTTTAACTGGGTTGGTGGATATAGAGGATCCACCTACGGAAGTTGGAAAATCCTGATTGCAAACCAATGGTGTACATGGGCTCCAGCATCCTAAGGGAACAAATGGCGTATGAACAAATTGTTGGTCACCGGCTACCATGGGACTGCATCTCCTTACGTTGCTTCACTGCCCTGTGGAATAGACCTTTAAGTCGAAGGCTCCGAGTGTGGCCCCCTAAGAAAACCACCTTCTTCGGTTTAGGCACCTGAACAGTATCACAGCCCTCATACATATCAAATGAGATTTGTGTGGCGCATATGTATTTGGTGCCTCCTTATACCAATATCTATGTGTTCAAATAATAATAATAATAATGTAGATTACGATATAGGTTAATTCAGGAATTACTCAAGTCATCCCTAACAACAAAATCTCACACTAGTTTAAGTCAAAATTTAATCATCGTTGTTGGTATTTGACTTTTCAAAGGATATATAGGATGTAAATATCTTAACCGAAGCACACCATGCTCCTCTCTGCTTTCCTTTGACTAGCTAGGTAGTATTTATCTCTCGCAGAAAATGCCACTCAAGTACAGGTACATGCTTATTACTTATTACATCATGATAGTAATTAAGTATAAACTTGTATACTCGACTTTCATCTACCCCTCAAATGTGAAGGTTAGCGATACTATTCCAAAGGAATAATATAGAGCTTTGAGTGGTGGCTCGATAGTTAATGCGTTTGATTTTCAGGCATTAAGTCCCAGTTATGACCCCCGCTGTATCGACTTGGGTTTGGGTATCCAACTAGTGTTATTTGGCCCTCACATTCAAAGTGGTTCATATCCAAGTACCTAGTAAATGAGTTGATTTTATATTTTAAGGTCAAACCAGGAAACTGAGGACCGTTGGTATGTCTGTAGGAAAGACAAACAGAAACAAAGATATTGTCCCAAAATTAATCCCCAATCAGGGGCTAAAATTTGTTTTGACTGATACTTCGATTTGAAATTAGTCCACACGGGCCAGCTGATAATAGCGAATAGCGAAATTGTTTTATACAAAATTTCAGATGGGTTTTGTGGATATATTAGTAATTTCAATGGTTAAGATCATGAGTCAGTTGAAGCTAGACCACCATGGGAGACCTGGAAGCACTGGACGGCCGTTTCGTCCTATTGTGGGACTCCTCAGCAGTGCGCATCCACGACCTCGCCCCTTGCGAGATTCGAACCCATGACCTACTGGTTTCGCGCGTGAGCACTTAACCACTAGACCACTGATTTATTTATTTATTTGAACACATATATATTGGTACAGGAGTGCGCCAAATATATGTGCGCCACACAAAACAATGAAAATTTAAGAAGAGAAAGAAAAAAGTGGGGAACGTAAAAAAAGATATAAAAAAACAATAACGAAGAGATCGGTGTAATGTAGTGTAATAATAATAGTAATAGTAGGGGAACAGAAGGGTACAATCAGAAGAAGTCTTTCAGTTAGGGAAGATACAACCACTTTTTTATGAAGAAAGTAAAAGAAGGTTACAGCAGGATCGCCACTGGCTTCTATTCTGAGCCATATCTGATAACGTCTCTAGCCACTGTGTTGTACCATCTCTCGGACCCCAACCAGAGAGTCGTGAAGGACCGACACAAGCCAGCCCTTCGCAGCTTTCTTTCATACCACGACACCATGTCATATACTGACCACCTCTCCGCTTTCTCCAGCCAGCCAATTGCACTATCGTCTCTGTGCCCGAACACACGATGCCGAACCTCTGCATCACTAATATGGTGTTGCCATTGGATGTCAACAATCCTTCGGAGACAACGATAATCGAACACAGAGAGTCGTCTAACGTCCTCAACTCGGAGAGACCAGGTTTCACAAGCATAGAGCAAAACTGCTCTCACCGACGCGTTGTAAATCCGACCTTTTACAGCCAGACTAATATCACAAAGGCGTCAAAGATGGCCCAGATTGGCATAAACCGCTCTGGCTTTCACTATACGTGCATTGATCTCATCACTCACACCCCCACCAGCACTTATGCAGCTACCCAGATACACGAACTTCTCGACTACTTCTATATGCTCACCATCCAGGGTGAGTACAGGATTCGAATCCTGCCAGTCTTGTAGAAGTACTTTGCACTTCGAAGGTGCAAAGCACATACCATACCTACGGACACTGATTGTCAACTGATTAAGTGCGGATTGCATGCCTTGGGCATTATCGCACAGTAAGACAATATCGTCCGCATATTCAAAGTCGAGGAGTCTTTCTCCAGGCAACAGATCCACACCACCATTACTTACATTCATCAGAGCTGTTTCCAGAATGTCATCGATGGCAAAGTTGAAGAGGAATGGTGAGATTGGGCAACCCTGCCTAATCACACTGCTCGAATGGAACAATGGAGAAAGGTGGTTGTATGCCCTCACTCTGCCTGAGGTGTTTGTGTATAGGGCTTTCAGCATGTTAATAAACTTCTCAGGCACACCCTTCTTCAATAGACAATCCCAGAGAAAAGTCATATCCAACGAATCGAAGGCAGCCCTGATGTCAAGAAACACTACGATTGTTGGCCTTTGATAAGTATGGCGGTGTTCTAACATTTGGCGGAGGGTGAAGATATGGTCAATACATCCTCGACCAGAACGAAACCCAGCCTGCTCCTCGCTAGTCAATCTTTCTCGAGTTTTGAACAACCTACGAAGTATGACGGAAGCCAATAGTTTGGACGCAATCGGAAGTAGACTTATCCCCCGATAGTTGTTACAGGAACGACGTGAACCCTTTTTAAAGATAGGGACAACTATCGACTCATTCCATGACGTTGGTACACTCTCTAGCTGCCAAACCTTTGTAAACAACGTCGTCAGTCCCTTAGTCAGAAAGTCACCACCATCTTTAAAAAGAGCCGGAGGTAAGTCATCCGGGCCAGGTGATTTGTAGCGCTTCAAGAGTTGGAGTTCCTTGCGGATTTCCGCCTCATTTGGTGGATCAGTCGTCACCGGCCATGGAAGGCAGGACAGTCTGACCGATGTTGCCGGATCAGCAGGCCAGTTGAACTGCCCTTCGAAAAATTCTGCCCACCGTCCAAGACGTCGATGGATGTTAGTGATTGGCATCCCGTCATCCTCACAGATTGTTTCACTCACACCAGACTTCTTGCTGCCAGTGGCTCGGATGAGTTGGAAGAGCTTCCGGTAGTTACCAGATGCAGCTGCTGCTTCCAGCTCATTAGCACTCTCCGACCACCAGGCTTCTCGGTCCTTACGCAAGCTTTGCCCAATTTCACTACGTAACAACCTTCGTTTGTGGTCTGATATTGACCAAAATATGCTCAATAGTGACTGGCTTCACGAGGTATATCCTGGAGTTCTAGTGAGAAGTAGTGACCAGTGGAGTCCAACCAGGTCTGTGGTGAGATAACAACTGACTGAAGACAATGGTGGATGTGTCGCTCAATTTCGTGGATTAGTTGAGGTTAGACATTAACATCGTTGGATGCCGGCCGACTCAGCGGTCTAGTGGTTAAGTGCTCACGCGCGAAACCAGTAGGTCATGGGTTCGAATCTCGCAAGGGGCGAGGTCGTGGATGCGCACTGCTGAGGAGTCCCACAATAGGACGAAACGGCCGTCCAGTGCTTCCAGGTCTCCCATGGTGGTCTAGCTTCAACTGACTCATGATCTTAACCGTTGAAATTAATTACACAAAATTGTTAGGAAGATTTCTGGATGACTTTTAACGAAAGTACTTGGAAACTACTCAACTTGAGCATTTTAACATTAAACAGGTTGAACCATATAGGACTTACCAGGTACCCAAAAGAGCTCGATTAAAAGCATGTAGACCATATGACCACAGACAGAAATGAGGAACGTGATAAACGGTATTTCGATGCAATGAAGTATTACTTACATCAACGTAGAAGTATTTGGAAGGCTTTGATAAAGGAGAATAAGCTTGGGTTTAGCCAGTTTCCTTATCTGGCAGAAACGAATAACTAGTACTATGAATTATATGGATTTATCTTGAAAATATAGGAAGATTCAATATATACGTTGAGGTTGAGTAAATTAAGTGACAAAAACTGATAATTAGATTTTATTTTCACAGTGATAGTTAGTCATCTACAAAATAGGACCAGGCAAATATATATATATATATATATATATATATATATATATATATATATATATATATATTGAACCAAATTACCATAACTCATTAGCACAACTAAATGAACACCGTTATAGGATAAGGTGGATGAAGTTAGAAAGTAAACAGTAAATGTGACGATAAAGACCAGATAAGAATAATTATTTTCTATGTGAAATTGGAAACAGGAATAACCCCCAAAAAATTTGGATAAATCGGTATAGAAAAGGGACTGAGGTTGATTACTAAACCCTCTTCGAATGAACAGCATGGTGTCCTAGGTTATACTAGAAGTAAGAACCATATTGTCGGATTGTTGAGAAGGCATCACCGCATTCAAAAAGTGCATTAGGGTTTTAGGCACATGATTCCAAAGAGAAATGTACAAATTAAACAAATGGAATAATCCAGATGTAAAAACTCATTTAACCTACTCCTCTGGATTTGTATACTGCTGGCCACCACGAAAGCCATATCTATCACATTGTAAAATGTCATCTTCAGACTGGAGTGGGCTATTTTCATGTTCATTTATGATATTATCCATCTTCGGCCAACTAGCATAGTTTTCACCAAGATCAAAAAACGCGCTAACCAATTCGTTGCCACAATTACTCCTTTTTCATACATAATTTTACACAAATGACCACAAAAATATGTCTGCTTAGTATGGATTCATAGTCTCAACATTGTGTTTGTTGATATGTCAAGGCCGTGCGCTTACTATGAGTTTCCTACTAGACTCTTGCGTCCTATTTTTTTCTCAGATAGCCTTCTTTATAGGAGGATGGGTTTTCTTTCTTCGACAGCTTTTTCGTGACTATGAAGTCAAGGACTCTATAGTAGTACTGATCTTTTCACTCACTTTTTCCTTGTCTTGTACAGTTTTCGAATTAGTAATCTTTGAAATACTAGATATTTTGGAAGCCTCTTCCAGGCGCATACATTGGCAGTTTATTCTTTTAACAACACTCTTAGATGTCATAATAATCATCCCATTTTACATATCATTTTATATCAGTAAGAGTGTACGAGTTATCCCTCCTAAAAATTCAATTAGACTTTGTTTCTCCTTTACACTTATGACTGCATATTTATATGCCTTTTGGAAAGTGGGGACATCTTTCCCTATTTTGAGTGGAAAACATGGCATTGTATTCTTGGAGCAATGTATTGGTCGAATAGGAGTAGTTGGAGTAACTATAATGGCTTTTTTATCCGGTTTTGGTGCTGTCAATTATCCGTATTCATGTATGACTTACTTCGCCTTGTCCGTTTCAAACTCAGAAATACGCACAGCTGAGAGAAGATTGTTACAAACTGTAGATATGATTTTGGTGAAGCGTCGAAGACTAGCTCAGTTTCAATTTGAGGCAAGAATGAAAGTTAGTCCATCGCGTGTTTTTAATTTCTGTTTTGAGATTGTCTGTTTTTTTCCTATTATGCATGTTACGCCGTAGACATATTTTTTTAATTCAATGTGCCGCTTTATTCTATTAACTTCAACACCACAGATCAGACTGCTGCGTTTTGTTAGTCCACAACAAAGCAGGTATACCACTTTCTTCATAACTCGGTTATATTTGTGAAAGAGCTGAGATACTACTTGTGCGCCCAAACGGAGACAGCTGGTTTTTTCTGGAGGCCAACACTTGGGCATTCGACCTTTATTTCATTGAGTGTTATTTTTTGCAGAACTTAGTCGTTATATAGCTCCCAGGTTTTACCGCAAAATGTTTTCATGTGAATTTCAGCGTACTACCAACGAAAAATCTAACACCTTTTGGAATATGTTACGGACGGTTGGAATGTCCATTTCATCACCTCGTATTGACGAAAAATTATTGAAACATGAGGTTAGTGTTTTATTCATACATTGTTACCATATTTGAGTCATTTGTCTAGCTATTGTCTTAAAAAATCAATTTTCAGTTCCGAATCTAAATTGTATTAAAACCGATTCTTGTCTTAACATATTTTATCTTGATAGGCACTCTCAAGTTTAAAATAGTGTGACCTTTAATCACCTGTTTTTTTCGGTTTCCAGGCCATCGATTTGGATCGAGTCAAGCTCACTAGCCAAGTAAAAGTTCGTATTTTAACCCTTGTTTGTGATCCGAATATATGGCTTAATAATCGAGATTCAACTCCTGTAACCGCATTTTTATTTTATGTAATTCATGAAAAAGAACTAAGAATGTAGGAATTCGTGCAATTAAAAGGCTATATATCTATAGATTGTGACGTCAGACATACTACACTAATATATTCAGAAAGCCCCTAATAAAAAGGATATTACCTTTAAAATAAAACCTCAATAACAACTGTCCACTTTTACGAGTGTGGTTCTTCCAGGGGCTTTAAATTATAGTTATTAATTCCATGTTACGCTTCAGTCATGTTCATCCAATACAAATTCCTGCTATTTAATATTATGATAATGTTCGAAGTATGATCAAAAAATGTTTTTACAAAGCCCAGCATACTCGGAATGTATCACAGTTACAGCCTAGGAAATCTTGCTAAAAAATCTTCTATGGTTATTATCGTTTCCAATAGTGTGGTCATTAATAGTGAAAAAATGTGTAGTTGCTTCAAAATAAGTAGGACAGCTATTCAACCAACGTTTTACAACTTATAGAATAATAATTGAAACTACTTTTCACTACTATTAAGTTAGTTTTCCTGGACTTTTGAAAGCAAACATCAGGCATTCTGAATTTTCATCGCTTACTTACTGTTGACTGTGAAGATGACACACGTATTCAGTGTTTGACAACGCTTTTACCAGCAACACCTAATATTATTCGTGCCCACCAAGAGAAATCAAAAGACAGAGTCGAGGAGATCGGAAGAGTGTATTTGGCGATAACCAATATATCGGAATTCTCTGATCTAATCTGGCTAGCGATTGCGGTAGATGTTGAGCACAGCGTTACCACACGTGATCTGGTGCGGATGCCTGACCGAGCGCCTTCAGCTAGATGGGTCCACTAAAACATATGGTCAGCATCCAATGTTGAGAACTTACAGAGCTATTTATTTTGGGGATTTATTTACCGCTACAACTGTATAAGCCAGGAGTTTTAATCAAACATTATCACCTAGTTATTTATTACTTTATACTCCCATTTTGGCTGATGCCACTGTTATTTCTGACAGCAGTTATACGGCAAAACATTTTAGTCTTATTAAAATTCAACTGAATACTCGTTTAGAACTCTTGTGTTGTGATACTGTATAGAATCATTTTCCTTTTTATTTATAATTCTTAAGTTACCCTGAAAGTTTTCACTATTTCTTACGTTCAGTAGGGAAATCTAACACGAGGATTATTTTTCGTATTCATCGTAAATTTCTCTTGTTTTCTTTTAAAATATATAGATATCTGTCCTTGAAGACTTAAGCCGTCAATTATTTCTGGAACTGCACTACCTCCGAACTGCCCAAGAACGTATTGAATTTTCAAAAACATGGAAAGGGAAATATTTCAATTGTCTTGGCTACTTTTTCTGTGGTTATTGCTGTTGGAAAATATTTATATCCATTATAAATATTTTATTGAATCGATTCGGTGGACAAGATCCTATAACACGCTTTATGGGTATAACTATACATTATCTAGGCTTTCAAATTGATGTAAAATTTTGGTCACAACAAATATCTTTTTGGCTCGTCGGTATAATTGTTGTAACGTCAATTCGTGGACTCTTGATAACTTTAACAAAATTCTTTCATGCTATAGCCAGCACAAAATCATCGAATATAATTGTTTTAATCATAGCACAAATAATGGGTACTTATTTTGTTTCTTCTGTATTGCTTTTACGTATGAATATGACTGCAGAGTATAGGAATATGTTAAATCAAGTACTTGGTGACTTACAGTTTCATTTCTATCATCGTTGGTTTGACGTAATCTTTCTTATCAGTGCTATGTGTAGTATTGCGTTTTTATACTTAGCACATAAACGAGTTGCTGAAATAAAAGATGACTATATTTCTTGACTTCATATTGTTTGTGCATATCGTTCAAGACAGCCTAAATATTTTCTTATGCTACCACTAACTTGCATTCCACAGGTAATAGGTGTTATGGTAATATGAAATTATATAGACTGGTACGTTATTTCTGTCTCTTCCCATTCATCTTGTGCCTATGAGGTTTAGCAACTTGGGCCAATGCACATCTATACGAGGCTCTACATTGTTGATGACTGAGTTCATGCACTTCATCCCTTCCATAAATTTAAATGAAGTTTTCGCGATCCTTTCTTTTAATACATTTTGGAAAAACTAATGAGTAGTAATGACACGCTTAATAGTTAGTAAGAAAATATCTCTTAGAACAACCAATTTTTTAAATCTATCTAGGTAACAGTATAAGTTCATGTACTCAGTTTCAAGCCCTTGTGATCACTCCGTCCACAAATGACTGACAGTTTGTGTGTGAAGGTCAGTATTTCTAATTAACTTAGTCGAAATAAGTAGGGTGGGGTAAGAAGATATGATGTCGAATACAACATTTCAAAATAGTTTAGTACAATATTCGGCTGTGAAGTACTATTGTTTAGTGCACCACCCACGTTTTGGCACTGCTAGGATGGTGTCAAGTCGGTTTAATTCGCAGATCATGTCTACCATTCTCAGTGATTTTGTTTTCAGTCCCCAGAATTCCGATCTAGTCATTTATCCTGGTTGTGTGGTTGATTTTGAGGATAACTAATGTTGCAGCCTTAATACTGTTCCTGTCGTTCAACAAGAATAATCCTTCTACGTTATTTTCAGTTGGAGAGTATCAATCACTGATACACCAACCGAACTTGGTCCTGACAACCATTTCCTTCCTCGATTTGTAGCTTCTCTTTCACCCCCGTTACCAAGCCTTTCAATGCTGCGAAATATCATCTCTCACCTCCTGAAGCAAGGCCCAAACTAAATGTCTGAGCTTTCGTTCTGATTTTAAGTTGGATAGGACAAGTTCCACTAGTTAGAAGTCCGTAATCCCACACGATTTATGTATGCTATTTCTCCGAAACCTGCATACAGTACTTAGGAGTGATTATTTACTTCACTTTACCTCATCATTATGGAGAAGCAATACAGTTTACTCTTCATTTATGTGGGAATTCTTTAGCTATTTCTCGTGGTTTTCTAGATGTTAACCTTATAAGAGATGAGTGGTCAAAATCCATAGCTTGTAATTAAATTTAATTATGATTTTGGTGTACATTAATTCACAAAATCATCCATCCTAGAATATAAAACGATGGTATAGCAACTTGGCCCGATGCACACGTGAGCCTGGTCCTACGTTGTAGCCGACTGACTGATAAATCTAGGAGGACCAGTCATAATCTACGGCCCTAGATTGAACACTTCTTATCATATCCATTCTCGGGATGGAGAAGATTTGTAACTCAGGTGGATGATCTTGATGGAGTTTTGTTTTCTGAACTGGATGGTTTAGTCGCGGAGCTTTCATCGTTATTCTGAACGACATAATCAGCACAAACTTTAGGTAGAAGCTCCACGATCAAACTATCCAGCTCAGAGAACAAAACTCCATCAAAATCATGTGAATTTTCA